TTGGTCATTTAAGGTCAGTTCTGGTGAGTTTCTGGTTCCCAGGACCTCGGTGAGTATTGTCACAATTTAGAGGTCAAATTCAGAGGTCATTCAGCTGGTAGAAATCAGAAGGTTTAATGTAGAAAATTCAATAATTATATTAATGGTCATTTTTATCATATGTCACAAATTGTCAAGGGGTGGGGCGACGTCTTGTTCAGTTCGAATAATCATCGCCGTCAATTTCGTGAGATTATCTAGTTCAGTAAGTTTGCTTCGACTCCTCAATTTAACCTCCATTCCAAAACTAGTTGTCCTGATGAGGGTTGTATATCTGCAAAAAGTATCGACAGTATAAGATGAGATATGACTCATCAGGGTGACGTTTTGTAAATTGATTTTTAAGGTTGATTTGTTGAGAGGTTTGTTTGTTATATAATATAATAGCTATGTTTAATATGAACAAGGTTGTAATTTAAGTTCTGTTTTTATTGAATATACTGCTATCATCTTTTGAATTTCCACGCGATTTCTGTGCGTCGCACATCATAAATAAATTTACTTTATACAAGTCCAAATTCACGATAGAAGGTTGCAAATTTTACTGATTGTATCAAGATTACTTCTGTATCCTTTACGATTTTACAATTAACGATTGTTAACAAATTTTTTCACTATAGAATTATAGGCTATAATATTCAGACTATATAGAATATACACAGTACTCTATGTGGAGGAATAATGGGTTCAAGATTGAGTTATTGAGAGGAAATCTTGAGAAATAAAAACATCTTTATAAAACATCTTGTTTCTATTGTGCTGAGAACCTTTAACAGTCTTAAATAAATACAGAACCATTCGTTATTCATGTACGACACAGACTAGCTAGCAGATTGAGATACGATTACAGTTAACCACCATTAAATACATTACTTCTGTGATACGATAACAGTAAGCCATCATTGATCGAAAATATCGAGTCCACATATTTAATATCATGTATTGGTGGTGTGTCTACTGAAAAATCCTAGAGAGAGTCCACATAGCTAATATGTATTTGGTATTTAGATTTGTGAACGGGTTATCCATTTCAGAGAGTCCACATAGCTATTAGGTTTGTCAACGGGGATACCTTTCAGAGAGTCCACATAGCTTGAATTGTTTATCTGGTATTAGGTTTGGCAACGGGAATACCTTTCAGAGAGTCCACACAGCTAGATTTGTTTATCTGGTATTAGGTTTGGCAACGGGAATACCTTTCAGAGAGTCTACATAGCTAGATTTGTTTATCTGGTATTAGGTTTGGCAACGGGAATACCTTTCAGAGAGTCCACATAGCTAGATTTGTTTATCTGGTATTAGGTTTATCATATTATTTATTTAGCATTCTGGTTTTTCAACTCGGGAATTCCTCCACAAAGCCAATATTATGTATTTGGAATAGATTTGTGAACTAGAGCCTTATACCACATACTAGCTAAAATGGTTTATTGTAGTATTGCCCATTGTACATACTAGCTAGAATGGTTTATTGTAGTATTGCCCATTGTACATACTAGCTAGAATGGTTTATTGTAGTATTGCCCATTGTACATACTAGCTAGAATGGTTTATTGTAGTATTGCCCATTGTACATACTAGCGATACATTGTGATACTAGCATGTGTACAACAGTAAATTATTGGGGAAAGTCTTAAAGGCGTCAATATGACTCCATAAAGTTATTAAAACATTTCCTTTATAATTTGTAACATATAAAACAATTTTACTCTACGCTTTGTAGCAAATTAACAAAACAATTCGTCAAAGACTATGAGACGAGTGTCGCGAACATTAAACGGATTCTAATTCGTTAAACATGAAACGAAATATGAAAAGTGTCTGAAATAATCGTTAAGCGACTTGAAACATGTTTATTACCGGTTGTGTACAATTTATAAAGATTTGTTTGAAATGGGCAACAATAGAAGACAAATAGCGGGAATATTTATCATTAGTAATCTAGAGAAAATACGACATTGTTTATCAGGAATGAAACATCGTGTCGGAAAATAAAATAATTCCAGATTTTATAAATACAACGTCTCGTCATTCAATTCAATGCACATGCGTATTGGAGTCGGAAATGGGGTCAATGTGGTGTCTGATTTAGAAAGAATTTTGACTAGCGAGGTTCTGATAATAGGAAAAGCTCGAAAATTATTTCCCTGAAGTTTTTGTTAGATTTCACGCATTGAAAGACCGAAGTGACAATAATAAAACACATATGAGGCTTTCTATGAATTTCTATCAAATTTCGTATCATGCAGTGCAGGGCAATTTTTATAATGGTTTAACCTGCCTTGGTACCGCTTCTCAATGTCTAGTTATGCTTGCGTCATGTGTCCTTACTTAACTCCCCAATAGGTTAGAAGTTAGGTAATTTCTGCTCTATGTATAACTATGTTTTGTTTGACCCGAGTAATAGGTATCGGATGATTTTGACTGGTTTTAATATAACTGGAATTAAAGCTTCAATTTATACCGTGAATAAAATAACATAAAATACAATAACACATATATAATGACAATAAAACAACGTCAGCACAAAATCCTTTATTCTACCTTTAACAACATATTTCAGAGCCTGTTTTAATTTTGTTGTCGCTCCTCTATGAAATCCATCCGCAGTTAAATTATGTTAAAATTTGACAAAAACTATCGCCTAATAATATAATTAATCTTACTGACAAAAACTTGACCTTGAGAAATTATAATAAACGGGGACAATCTACTCTTCCATGCTTTTAGTAAATAGCTGAGATTGGACACCAGTCGACTTGCGTAAGCATTGGTCGAGGTATCAGACAATCTGTTCTTAAACTACGACTAGTGTAATGTAATGGAATTGGACAGTGACTGAAATCAATGATTATCTAGACATAGTCATGATGATGATAGGAATTCAGAGACTTGTTAATGGGGTTACCATTGGGTCATGCCCCCACTCCCAGGCCTGTGAAACGTCTATGGGTACTTCATGAACTTTTGCCTCACATATTAGCCCCTACCCCTGATTCCTCAGGCATTTCTATATGTGCCCCTGTAAGAATTGCTAGTTATTGATTGATTTAATAGTGACGATAAATAACTAATATTTAATGACAACAATTTATCACATTGTGTAAATATTTAATACAAATCATTACCCTTCACCTCTCTCTCTCTTCTCTTCATCTCTTCATTAACAAAACAGCATTCAGACTGCACGTGCTAATTGCCGCAATTAGGAATGATGTCTCGCGCGATGTGAGAACGTGATAAGACGGAAGAAAATTATATCCCTGTTTCTAATTGGTCAATTATCAAGTAGGCGGAGTAATTAAAGTGTCTTGTTTAACGAATTGATTAGAGGGTATGGGAGGGAAATTTTAACTGGCCTTATACATTCGTCGGTAAAATTGTTCGAAATAAATTGGGATATCAGCATTGAAAAAACTGTTTTTAGAATGACGTTGCATGAGATAAATATTAAATCATGAGCCCATATTAGCATTTTAAATATTTGTTTTACACAAAACAATTGGATAATTTTCAACCAAAAAAACGACGATGATTTATATATTTATACATTTATAATCGGTGAGAATCTATTTTCCAAATTAAGAAGACTGTTGAACACAAGAAGAAAATGACACTTAATTCATGTTTTATATTTTGTATTATTAATTATCTGTATGACTGTAAGGTCTGATTTTAAAAAGAAAGGGGAGGAACCTTGAGAGTGAAAATATTTAACAAGATCCTTAGAACAAAAGAACAGATGTTTTTATATTGTATTGTCATCTCGACCGTGCTTGAGAACGTGAGGTAATATTTATAGTAATAAAGCGTGATAATCAGTTGAATGTTTTCTCTTGAAGTACTGGCCCTGTGTAATGAGCCGACTCGAGTCAGATCGGTGTTGTTGTTTATTGAGTCAGTATAGAAGAAACACACGAAGAAGAGCACCCCCTGTCGAGATTTACTACAAACATCAATCTGTATAATTAGATATATTTACCTTACAAAACTTGAGACTGTTTGGATTCATTGATTGTAAAACAAAGGAACATACGACCCTGTAATTTAAAACCGAGAATATCAAGCTAACCACTCGATAGGTGTTATGTCAAAGATTTAGGCAGAGAAAACTATCAAACGGCATTTCAGTCTGAAATATTCATTTTCTCATTTTAAAACAGAGTTAAAACTATTTCTTAATGAGAGACCTTTTTTTGATTATATTGATTGATGTTTAGAATACATTGAGGACTTCCTCTGTTCATATCCATTCAAAAAAAACTTAAAATCTAAAATATCCAAAAATGATGTTAAAATGTTCATAAAAATTTATACATCTTTGTACAAAATGAGAAAGGATATAAACTACCACTTAGAATGGACATAAAATTTTAAGTCTCGAACTTGGTCAATAAGAGTACATTGTATATATTCAACAGTTGGACTTACCAGGTTCCAAGACTTACCAATAACATGTTTATGGATTTATTGGATTATAGAAAGATTCTGTTGTATAGTTGTGACACCAGGTATGTCCAGTGATGAACACAGACTCATGTTTGGCAATGTTTAACAATTTCAATTTTTTGGTCATCCTAAGAGGTAGTATACCTTTAATATAAGTCTTGTAATTTGAAAAGCTTGTTTTTTCTTTCTTTTGAATTAAATGTGCTATAATTAATATATATAGGTACTTATACTATATAATATATAATATACAATAAATAATCTTATATAATATAATTATATTGCCACGGAAACATCCCGTTAGAGTTCTAATGACAGAGATATTGAGGGGTTCTGTTGTATTTCTTTGCACCATTTAAGTCCAATGGTATTGGAAAACGAACGACATAATATGAGCTCTGGCTCTGAAATCACAGGAACCGCCGACATCTGATGGAAAATAGGAACAGTTAAATATGAGCAAACGCTTTGCTATTTTTCTTAAATCTAAACAACCAATCAAATTGTATCTTTCAGACCCGCAGCTATGGAATTCATGGCACGTGCAGCAATGGATAGAATGGGCAGTGCTGGAATATGGGCTTCGTGGAGTCGATGCCACGAGATTTATCCATTTAGATGGAAGACAGTTATGTCGTTTGTCACGCGATGAGCTGTGTCGTCTGGTAGCGCCGTATGAAGCAGACGTTCTTTTTACACATTTATCATATCTCAGACAAGGTAAGAATCTTTTTGTAATTTCGCGGCACAATGTTTCACCATTTGTTTAGGACAATGGAACAAGGCACAATGTTTCTCTCGTATTGTTTTTAAGCAGAAGTTGACATGGTCCTGTCTAACAGTCAGCCCATGGGGACAAACATAAATTCTCTATTTTTCATGGGTCAGAATAAGGTCCAATACACCAAGGGGACATGGTCCTGTCTAACAGTCAGCCCATGGGGACAACGTAATGAATGAAGAAAAAAATCTGCACAATATTTAAAGAGTAACGGTTTTCTTCAATTCTATCGTTTTTATCTTTCTGAGGCCTGTGTCACAAAAATTAGTAAATATATAATCGCCGTTCAACAATTACAGTAATTTGATTGGTTAAGAAACATTAATATAATATAAGTTTTAGTCATAGACCAATCATAAACTGTAATTCTAAAATTATCAGAAATTTAGTGTTTGTTAAACGACTCCTTATGACGCTAATATAATTTTTAAATTGATTCATCGTTTTATATTTTTGTACCGAGGAAAGAGCGTAAAATAATATGCGCAAAAACATCAATACGAGTAACATTTTTTCTACAATTTTAGAGTTTTTATCTATCTGAGGCCTTTTCGTCAATTCTGAATCATACTTGACTTACGATTTACATTTTTATACTGATCAGTTGTGTACTGAATAACACACGTAATTAAATTAAAACAGAGAACAAAAATGTGACATAAATAGAATTAAATCATAAATCGGAAAACAAATTCGAAAATAGAAAACAAAATTGATAATTTAGCGAATAAAAATGTTGAATAGTAAACTTTAATCATGATTTAAAAAACTAAATACTGTATGTCGTAAACGATCCACCATATTTTCTTACATATATTCATAATTTGTTAGTCAGAAATGGTTGTCATTAACAATGTATTTTACAAGTGAAAAGAAAATTTAAATCTTAAAGTTTGCATGAATACGACTTTATATTTTGAAGTAGAAGTTAATTTCTGAATTTATTTTAAAAGAAAGATTGATATAGTCTGTTTCCTAAACCCTTTTATTATTTATATTTCATAATTCATATAAAAAAAAACCTTTATTAGAAAGCAGTACATTTTGGAAGTATATTATAATGAAGCGATATTGGTGAATAAAAAAAAAGATTCTGAATTTAAAATTTGTTTTACTGAAAATGAAAATGTAATAAATGAAAAAGATTATTTTGAAATAATTGACAATTTTCATTTGCAAATTAGAAGTTTATTAGTCCAAGTCCAAGAGTCAAAAAGTTGCAGATTCTATTTGGTAATTATGTTTACATCATTTCATTTTACAGCCCAGTTGCCCATCCCGTCCCTCCCGGGGGAGAATATAGATAGAACTGGGTGTGGCAGTATGACCCCCACGTCACCCACGAATCCCTGGTCCTACCCAACATTTAATATGACAGATTCCATGGCAACCGTTTCTAGATCAGGTAAGCTTAATGGCAACTAAATTCTATTTTGCATTATTTCAACAACCAAGAGTTTTACAATTGATAGGTAATGATAATGCATCATACTAGGCGGAACTTCTGGTCTCCAGCCTATGGATAATACAGAAAATTTCAAAAAGGGCCCTATCTGCTTCTACCCAAGCCTATGACCAGCAATATATCTATCAGAGGCTAGAAAATGCAGCCAATTGTTGACAAACAAGTGAAATTGCACGTCATGTATTGTAAACGGCAAAAACATCTACAACTGGATACAATAGTTTTGATAAATCGTTAACGAACCCACCGCCTGATTATCATTCTTAAAACTGGAACGTGAAGCTGAAACGTGAAACATCTGTCAACTGTTAAAGCCTAGAACTGAACGACGTTGAGAATATGTATTAATATAATCCTTTAGCGACATTTAGGGGTAGAGATCACCTGAAGATGACAATGTAGATTGTTGAAACGTCGTGTATAATAAAACTAAGGAGTAGTATACCATATAATTGTGTTCTGTTATTTAATGTATTAATATAGTCTGTTGTTTGTTATTCAGATGGTGAATTCAGTAAAACAAGTTGGATGTCTCAATCACCTAATACCTGTACTAGAGGTAGGTTCCTCATACTTCAATTGACTGATAAGTCTTACGTTTTACCTGTCTTTACAAACACCGGAACAAAGTTAGGCTGGTGGAGCTCTGTCCCAGCACCACAACAGTTTATTTCTTCATTTAAGGGAGAAGCTTGAGTACTATCTCCACCCGACTGTTTTTTTACTTCCTCTAGAACAATAATCATTGTCTATTTTGGATTTTGCTAGATTAAACTTTTTTTCCATTTGTAGGTTATTCAACGACGCCGTATAGTGCTGGTATGACCAAGTCTATTATTGACCCCACCCCACCCGCCTGGAGGACTCAAGGTAAGCGACAATGTTTGAAAATGAAAATATACAGGTCTATAAATAATTTTACTATTTACACAAATATAGTAGGACCGTGTGCAATCAAATATCTCAAATATATTTTCATAAAGTTAGTCGATAAACCTTAACTATCGAGTCCAGATTATAAATAAAATTACCTAGGTTCGGCTTTAATATATTATAATTGTATGAAACATCATGACTATAAATAGTTATCTCTTTGCGCGGTGAGTTAATGTAAATCAATCAAGGTGTCAAATTAAATCAGTTGCTAATTACATTTTTATGCAATTAGTGACTCAGTTTGGAAAATGCAGAAATCACATGAAACACAAGGTTTGTTTTACGAGGTACTGGTCACAAAATTGCAGATCATTAAGTCTTAACGCTGAATACGATTAAACAAGTGGTATACCTTCACAAAATAAGAATCGAAAGGTGTAAAACGTATTTAAATTTTTGTGCATTTTTCAGATCCGTATAAATTATTTGGTCATCTGTCCAGTCGGCTGTGCAATACAGGTAAGTTGACCCGGATTAGCAAATATTATAGTAAAACATTAAGGGACATAACTCAATTCTTTTACTACTATACAGACAACAATTGAGAAAAGTTTTTTTTTTTTTTGGTTTCTGTTAGGTCAAGGGGAAATAATCCAATACACGTTCTCTCAGACCACAATATATTATAATTGGTATTTCTAGCAATTTAATAGATGCTGTTCGGACAAAGGGAGATAATCCAATACACGTTCTCTCAGACCACAATGACCTTAAATGATATACTTGTATTGCCGCTTGCAATGATCTGGTGTAAAACTCTCATCAATTTAGTGTTGAATTGTTTTTGTTTTTTACAGGAAGTGGTCAGATCCAGCTATGGCAGTTTTTATTGGAGTTATTATCGGACAGTAGAAACGCAACTTGTATCACGTGGGAAGGAACGAATGGAGAATTTAAACTTGTCGACCCAGATGAAACAGCCCGACGATGGGGAGAAAGAAAAAGCAAACCAAATATGAACTATGATAAATTAAGTCGAGCTTTGCGTTACTACTACGACAAAAATATCATGACGAAGGTTCACGGAAAGCGATACGCTTACAAGTTCGATTTTGCCGGATTAGCGCAAGCAATTCAACCCACAACTCCAGATCCAACCTACAGACATCAAGAGTGGTTCTTCCCGAGTTACACCGGAACAAAAATTAACTTTGGAAATCCGTATTCCTCTGTCCCAAATGTGTCCCCCGGATTTTTAGGGACCCCGGGAAATTATTGGGCCTCCCCTAACGCCAATATGTATCCCAATATACAAAGCCCCGTTTTACCAAATACGTCAAGTCACATGACCAGTCACATGACGTCACATATCGGCTCTTGTTATGCATAATTACATATTCTTTTATTATTATTTATAACTTTCTGATCTGATGTTTTTCAAACCTTAGTTTGTAGTTTAAAGACATAACAATTCCGTCTCTTTTCTGCTTTCTGATATTTTAGTCTTCATTGCAAACGAACAAGTTTTCTACCAAAGATAGTTTATAGTGAAATATCAGAAAACAGAAAAGGTACGAAACTGTCATCTACTTTGTTAGATTACCAAACCAACTCGGCTCCACAGTTTCCATTTTCGGTGAAATTTTATAATCCAATAATTAGCTTTGCCAATGTTTAATTTTCGGTAAGTCGGCTGATGTCGTAAGTCGACTGATAAGTCGGTTGATGTGGTTAATCGGCTTATTATGACGTTTGTCGGTTGATGTGGTAAGTCGGTTGATGGGGTTAGCCGACTGATGTGGTTAATAGGCTTATTATGACGTTAGTCGGCTGACGTGGTTAGTCGGCTGATATGGTTAGCCGACTGATGTGGTTAATAAGCTTATTATGACGTTTGTCGGCTGATGTGGTTAGTCGGCTGATATGGTTAGCCGACTGATGTGGTTAATAGGCTTATTATGACGTTAGTCGGTTGACGTGGTAAGTCGGTTGATGTGGTTAGTCGGCTTATTATGACGTTAGTCGGTTGATGTGGTTATTCGGCTGATATGGTTAGCCGACTGATGTGGTTAATAGGCTTATTATGACGTTTGTCGGTTGATGTGGTTAGTCGGCTGATATGGTTAGCCGACTGATGTGGTTAATAGGCTTATTATGACGTTAGTCGGTTGATGTGGTAAGTCGGTTGATGTGGTTAGTCGGCTTATTATGACGTTAGTCGGTTGATGTGGTTAGCCGACTGATGTGGTTAATAGGCTTATTATGACGTTAGTCAAATGATGTGGTTAGTCGGCTGATACGGTTAGTCGGCTTATTATGACGTTAGTCGGTTGATGTGGTTATTCGGTTGATGTGGTTAGCCGACTGATGTGGTTAATAGGCTTATTATGACGTTAGTCAAATGATGTGGTTAGTCGGCTGATATGGTTAGTCGGCTGATGTAGTTAGTCGGCTGATGTAGTTAGTCGGTTGATGAGGTTAGTCGGCTCATGAAGTCGTCTGATGAGGTTATTCGATAAGAGATCTGGAATCATATAAACATGAGATGTTTTTAATGAAACAATATTTGATAAATTATATTTATTTTACGTATTGTA